AATAATGTCAATAATCTGACCGGAAATGGTAGCATAACTCACATTTTTGATTTGAACTTAAACGCGAAAGCTTATTTCATTCCAAGGGGATTACATTTTATTTGAAGAGTTGTTCCATACAAGAGTAACAGTGTGACGAAACCAAATTGCAAAAATTATGATCACACAAATGCTATAACTTTTTATAGAATGACCGTTTTCTTTGCTTTAAAAAGCATTTTTTGTTTTCTTCAGAAGAACGGCGCAACTTTTTAAATCAAGATATCAGATTTAACAGCGTTTTAACGATCGTTGAATGCTACAAGTGTGCCATGAAGCTTCTTTTGTGAAATCTTTTGGCCTACTTGAAGGATTGAATGGATTTTGTGAGCAAATTTATGCTCTGGTCAGACATTACTTGTCTGTTTGAAAACAAATTGGCGGGCCAGAAGACAACATTTGACCCATATTTATGCACACATACATATAACACTCTCTTGAAGATGTCAATGGGAAGTTCGACCGTGAGGCTGTATAATCTTGTGAGCCCCGACCTACTTACGAGTATGTATTGCCTATTCAGTAGCATTTCCTCGTGATCATCTCGCTTTTGGAGCTTAAAACCTATTAAAACATATGGTAAATGAACTAATACCTTTTTAATGGAAATAAATCGCTTAAATATTTTCTGTGTAGTTTAAACATATGTTAAAATTTTCAATAATAAACAGCGCCGTCCATTTAAAGCATCGAGATCGACTCGCAACGAAAACCGCACATTTATGGCATTTGTATATACATGTATGAATGTATGTATAGATATTTTTCCATACTATGTGTTTGTATATTTATGTACATATACATATATGGGGTATATTCATTTTATTATTACCTCGCCTGGGTGGTCTCTGACATCGGCACGTTGCCTTTGTATTGAAATTTATTGAATTTCATTTTATGCTAAACTCTATTCGATTTGTTTCGTATACTATATATGCATATACCTATATAGATAGATGAAATTTATAACTGGGCCTTCATATTTGGTGGCCCGGCGAGCGACTCATAGCTTCGTTCTTCAACTGTGTGCCATGGAATGGGTATAGTATTTTAAATGCGCCCTGTAATTAAGTAGTCGAAGCCCCCGAGGGAGTTCTTCGAGTGCCAGTCCCTCTCAGATACATTTATGTATTTGTGCGCGTGCGTGCGTGTGACTTGAATGGGTTGCCGTCAGTCCGAGCAACAATTTTTGATTGATTAGTGCGTGCAAGATCACATGGTATTGCATTTAATTAGACTGCCATTGCTGTGATAAAAATTAGACATGAGGAAAATATGAAGAATTGGATCCATCACTCAGCTTTCGAAGAACAGGGCAACAACAATCTTAGAGCAGTAAGACTAGGGAGCTTCAAAACTCAATTAAAATTAAGCAATGTTTGGAAGAAGTCTTTTAAAAGGGGAGTTCCAGATGTGGTCCAACTAATAAATTCTTTTCAGAAAAAACACGACCTACCCGTAACAGCCAGCCCCCGAATTTTAAAAATATAAAGAGTGCTTGTGTTCATTACAAATTAAACGAATCATGTTTCAATCGAGAGTTTGAAGATATATTGTACACATATTTTATATATATTTTGTATGTATATATATATTGTATATATTTTGTATGTCTACATATGTACATGCATTTATTGAACCATTTCGTTCCACCTGCTACTAGCCACTGAGCTGAGTCTTCTAGGCCTCCACTCCCGCGCACCAAATCTTTAAACAATGTCCTTTTATCCCAAAAGATTGTTTGACAGTTCTGAAGCATTTGGCATTTGCTACGCACAGCGGCTGTTTGAGGCCTGCAGTGATTGCAAAACTGTGCCTGTGGGATTAACAGCGGATTAGGATGTGGCTGGCAGAGAGGCGGACGGGCAGAGAGGCGGACGGACATACGGATGGCGGTCCGGACTAGGCAGTGCGCATTTCTAATGAAGTTGTTGTTCGTTAGTCTTCACAAAGAAAATGCACAATTTTCTGCTTTAGTAACATTTTCGTTTGAAATAGTGAAGCAGCAGCGCAAACAACAACAACAGTAACAACAACAGCAAAGAGCAAACCCATAAATCAATTTGTGACATTTCCTCACGATGCGACGATCAGCAGCAACAGCAGCAGCAGCAACAACAACAACAGTTGCAGCTGCACACCAGGCGAGAGAGCGGGTGTACACAACATGAAATGCACACATACTTGTACATATGTACATGCATACATAAATGTTGTTGTTGGCAGCAACATTTTTCGTATGTTGTGCGTGCAGAGCAGCAGCAGCAACAACACGAAGATTGATGACATGTCACATTGGCAACATCAAAGGAAAAAATGCGTAGTTTATGCGAATAACCAACACACGTAAATTCGAAATCAAGAAATTGAAATTTGTTATTGTAATTATAGTTGTCGTCTGCAATTTCAAATATTGTGTGCACATGAAGCATTGATTATTAAAAAAAAAAAACATTACAATAAATTAAAAAATAAAGAAACTGCTTTTTTGTCCATAGCTTGAAGGGATTTTCTGCTCTCGTGCAAGGCATAAACGTAGCAACAACCACACACACAGTCAACTGCTGCTGACAAGCGTTAACAGACAAACAGCAGCCGCATCTGCGCAGCCACGCTTGATGGCTCAATAGACTTACAGCGCTTACAGTTTGGGGTGCATTGCAGTGCATGCGAAATCTAGATAAAGTTTATTTTTAAACGGCCCGCGGTCAACATAACTTGGATAGGCGGCAACACACACACACACACACACACATACACACACACCAGTGTGTACAAATTCCAAGAATTTGTGATATCTCTTGTACAGCCCCGAACCGAGCTCATGCACTGAAAATGTTTTGTTTTGATGTCTTGTTGTTTGTTGCAAGAAAAGCCAATAGTGTGTAAGGCAACGATGTTTGTTGTTGGAAAAAGGAAAAAATTCCACGAACATATTGCCACATGCGGCGCAGGCGCAACCGACAACAATTTTTTGTTTGCACTTTAAAATGTAGTTGCCGCCGCCGCCACCGCCACCAGCGATCGAGAACGGGGCAGCATCGTTAATGTCGCCATCAATGACTTAATTAATGGCGACAAAGTCGCCGCCGACATTTGCCTGCGAGATCAGTCCGTTTGAAGTTTTGCGGAAATGCCAAGGAAGGCGGCACACTCACATAAACAAAATGCTAAACATACAAACATACATACACGTACATAATCATTTCTGCGTATGTGTGTGCGAGGGTGTGTTGTGTGTGCAGGAAGTCTTATGGCCATAGAAAACGCATTCCGCGCATAACTTCAAAAAGGCGCCCCCAGCAACAAAGCAAATAGAGACGTTGTTGGCTTTAAACAGAAAGAAACAACAACAATTTATGGCCAACTGCCGCGCGTTCCAAGTCAACGCCTCTATTCGTATCTTAACGGTAGTCATAAAAGGCCTGCTCAACAATAAGGCCCATGACATTTGTGCATGCCGATGTCGATGACGATGACGCCGCCGTCTATGCCACTTAAGTCATTTTCAACAAACGCCAAGCGTTTCCCAAAAGCAGCCACAAAAGAGTTTAGCTCTTCACTCGCCATCAAGCATTTTCACTCGCCGGAAAAATCGTTGGGTAGCAATCAAAACAAAAGGAATCAAACGATGACGATGTCGATGTCGTCTCGCGAGTTTCTGCAAAGTCTGCATTGAATGGAATGCTTGTAAGCTGGGCGCGCCGTCCCCTTTCTTGTTCTTGTTGCTGCACAGTGGGTCGAGCCCACGCAAGGGGCAGAATTTCTTATTTTTAATTTAATTGAAGCATTTGAAAGAAACTGTTTTCTATTTGTTGTTAGCTTCTTTGTGAAAAGATAAATATCGAAAGCAAAATACAACAATCGCTTCACAACTGTGCTCACAATTTAACATTCACAGTCTCAATAACAGAGACTCTAACAGTTGTTTTTAGCGGATACTGCAGCTGTGGCCATAACATAGGCAACAACAATGAGCAGATGTTTAAAGTTGGCTGTTCGTATTCTGCTAAAACAGGAAATAAATAATAATAATAAATAAATAGTATTTTCCTATTTGTTGTTAACTTTTTTGTACAAAGAGAAATAGCCAAGCTTTGATCGGACAAAACACAATTGCTCCAAAACCGTGCCCACAATTGAACATTCACAGTCTTAATTACAGGGGTGATAACAGTTGTTTTAACAGTTGCTGAAGCTGTGTCCATAACATAGCATGAACAGGTTCTGTTAAAAATCTGCTAAAACAGAAAATAAACAACAACAGAAAATAAATAAGAGATTGTTTGCTTAACACTGCTAGCCTAAATTGTGTCCAGTTTATTTTGTTGTTGGTCTGCAGGCCTGCAAGTTATTGGAGCCATATCAGAGATAATTCCACACCTTAATAATAATTCCACAGCTTAATAACAACAGCTTCAATCCATGCTTAAAGAAACCTATTCTCCGTTCTCACCCTCACCTCACACCCCTGCAAAGCTCTTCTTTCAACGGTTGATTTTTCATTTCGTACTCGCTGGCCTGCATACCACTGTGCTAAGCACCGATTGAGATGTTAGCGCGAGCCTCATTATTTTGTAGCTTGATTTCCGTGGCAGACGAGAAAGCCAGAAAGCCAGAGAGTCGGGCCAAGCCTGGGCGCTTCCCAATTCCAATTGCCAAGCAAACGATTATGGCCTGCTCCAGCAAAGGCGTCCGTGTTGTTGTTGTTGTTGCTGCTGCTGCTGCTGCTGCAGCACTGATGATGATGATGATGATGATGGGATGGCTTCATTGCGCGGCCGTGCACGTCTGACATAAATTATATGGCTGCGTCGGGCCACACGCTGTTTCGTTATAATTTTAATGCGTTATTTATGGCCTCCCTCGACCACAAAGAAATAAAAAGCTAATACTGAATAAAACGAATGCAGAAACTCAACCGAAATCTTTCGCCCATCTTTTTCTATTGTCACCCACAGGGCAAGGCGCGTGGCAATCGCACGGCGATCTATCTGCGTTCAGTATTCCAATCCCACCTCGAAACGCTCGGCAGTTCGGTGCAGAAGCATGCGGGCAAGGTGCTCTTTGTGGCCATTCTGGTGCTCAGCACATTCTGTGTGGGCCTGAAGAGCGCACAGATACACTCGAAGGTGCACCAGCTGTGGATACAGGAGGGTGGGCGGCTGGAATCGGAGCTAGCGTACACGCAAAAAACCATTGGAGAGGATGAGTCATCTACGCATCAGCTGATCATACAAACGGCCCACGATCCCAATGCATCGGTGCTGCATCCACAGGCGTTGCTCTCCCATCTAGATGTGCTCGTCAAGGCGACGGCGGTCAAGGTGCACATGTTCGACACAGAATGGGGCTTACGAGACATGTGCAATTCTCCAACTACGCCCAGCTTCGAAGGACACTACTTCATTGAGCAGATCTTTAAGCATTTAATACCATGCTCCATAATTACGCCACTGGATTGCTTTTGGGAGGGCAGTCAGCTGCTGGGACCGGAATTTCCCGTACAAATACCGTAAGTAGCCATGCTGATTGGTGTAAGAAAGGAAAGGCAGTTACTATCCTTAGACTAGTTATATCTTTAAATAGTAGTTGAAGTAATCCAGAAAAATAGTGCTACCTTACACCTATTTCTCGATTGATAATCCCCCTGCTAACGACAGATATAGTTAATGAGCTATTGGACTAATTGAACTCTCTTCCCATTTGCTTCTGTATTCGCAGTGGCCTTAATCAACGCATCACGTGGAGCACGCTTAATCCTTCTAGTCTCGTGCAATCCATGAAGCAGCAAATGTCCGATCAGAAAATCAGCTTCGACTTCGACACCGTGGAGCAGTATATGAAGCGCGCGGCTATTACCACCGGCTATACGCAGAAGCCTTGCCTGAACCCGGCCAATCCACTCTGCCCGTCGACGGCCCCCAACAAGAACAGCCAACAGCCGCCCGATGTGGGTGCTGCGCTCTCCGGTGGCTGTTACGGGTATGCGGCCAAGTACATGCACTGGCCGGAGGAGCTGATTGTCGGCGGGGCGCTGCGCAATCGCAGCGGTCATCTCAAGAAGGCCAAGGCACTGCAGACGGTGGTCCAGCTGATGACTGAGAAGGAAATGTACGATCTGTGGAACGACAACTACAAGGTTCATCACATTGGGTGGACGCAGGAGAAGGCCGCCGAGGTGCTTAACGCTTGGCAGCGCAACTTCTCAAAGGAAGTGGAGCAGCTGCTGCGGAAACAGCCGAGGGTGGCACACAATTACGACATTTATGTGTTCAGTTCAGCCACACTGGATGACATATTAGCCAAGTTCTCAAACCCAAGTGCTCTCAGTATTGTTATTGGTGTGACGGCAACGGTTCTATATGCGTTCTGTACGCTTCTTCGCTGGCGCGATCCTGTACGTGGGCAGAGCAGCGTGGGCGTGGCCGGAGTGCTACTGATTGGATTCTCTACTGCTGCGGGCTTGGGCCTGTGCGCTCTACTTGGCATCGTATTCAATGCGGCCAGCACCCAAGTGGTGCCTTTCCTGGCCCTCGGCCTGGGTGTGGATCACATATTTATGCTGACTGCGGCGTACGCTGAGAGTAATCGCAAGGAGCAGACCAAGCTGATATTAAAGAAGGTTGGGCCGAGCATCCTGTTCAGTGCCTGCAGCACAGCTGGCTCCTTTTTCGCGGCCGTCTTCATTCCGGTGCCGGCCTTGAAAGTCTTTTGCCTGCAGGCCGCCATCGTTATGTGCTTCAATTTGGCAGCTGCCCTGCTGGTCTTTCCGGCCATGATTTCACTGGACTTGCGACGACGCACGGCAGGACGGGCGGACATCTTTTGTTGCTGTTTCCCTGTGTGGAAGGAGAAGCCTGCCATCTTACCTGTTACCCTAATGAACAACAACAACAACAACAATACGAGCAGCTCGCGCTATAACAATACGCGGAGCGGACGATCAGCCATCAAAAACTGTAACAACAATCGGGCGGCGTTAGCCCAACAGCAGCCACAGCCACAGCCCCAGCAAGATCCGCTCTTGGAGCAGTGTGCGGCGAATGGGGGCAAGAGCCAGACAAGTCTGCCAAGCTTTTCTCTCTCCGAATTCGCCTACAAGTACTACACTCCGTTTCTGATGCGCAGCTGGGTTAAGTTTCTGGCAGTCATGGGCTTCCTCAGCGCCTTGATCTTCAGCCTGTATGCATCGACGCGCCTGCAGGACGGTCTCGATCTTATAGACCTGGTGCCTAAGAACAGCAACGAGCACAAGTTCCTGGACGCACAGTCGCGACTCTTTGGCTTCTACAGCATGTATGCCGTGACCCAAGGCAACTTCGAGTATCCAACGCAGCAGCTTCTCCTGAAGGAGTATCACGACGCCTTTGTGCGAGTGCCGCATGTTATCAAGAACGATAATGGGGGCCTGCCGGACTTCTGGCTGCTGCTCTTCCGCGACTGGCTCCTGAATCTGCAGCGAATCTTCGACGATGAGCTGCGAGCCGGTCGTCTCACGCAGGAGAGCTGGCACAAGAACGCCAGCAGCGACGCCATTTTGGCTTACAAGCTGATCGTGCAGACCGGCTATGTGGATAACCCCATTGACAAGAACCTGGTGCTGCAAAATCGTTTGGTTAACAGCGATGGCATTATTAATCCTAAGGCCTTCTACAACTATTTGTCAGCTTGGGCAACAAATGATGTCTTCGCTTATGGAGCATCGCAGGTAGGTCGAAAAACCTTAAATTTAAAAGTCGATTTGTGCTAACAGGACTTCTCTTTTTAGGGCAAACTTTATCCGGAACCGCGTCAGTATTATCATGTGCCGTCCGAGTACGATTTGAAAATACCCAAGAGTCTGCCGCTGGTCTATGCTCAGATGCCATTCTACTTGCACGGCCTGACGGACACGTCGCAGATCAAAGCGCTCATTGGTCACATTCGGGATTTGAGTGTGAAGTATGAGGCCGCAGGACTACCCAACTATCCATCGGGTATGTAGAAATCATTTCTTTGCTTCTATATCTCTCCCTCTACTCTTTTTCTAATCTAATATTGCTCCTTCTTTCTTGAGTCTTAGCTAATCTCTGTTGATGATTTCTTTCCAGGCATACCCTTTATATTTTGGGAGCAGTACATGACACTGCGATCCTCGCTGGCGCTCATTCTCGCCTGTTCAGTGCTGGCGGCCTTGGTTCTTGTCTCCGTGCTGCTCCTGTCAGTGTGGGCCGCGGTCCTGGTCGTCTGCAGTGTGCTGGCCTCTCTGGCTCAGATATTTGGCGCCATGACGCTCTTGGGTATTAAGCTGTCGGCCATTCCCGCCGTCATCCTCATTCTCAGCGTGGGAATGATTCTTTGCTTCAACGTTCACATCTCGCTGGTAGGTTTGCTTTGAAGCGTCGCTTCTGAGTTGTATTGCTAATGTGGTTGTCTTTTCTATACTCAGGGTTTCATGACTTCGGTGGGGAATCGTACGCGCCGCGTTCATCTGGCCATGCAATTGTCAATGGGTCCTTTGGTGCACGGCATGCTGACCTCTGGCGTGGCCGTTTTTATGCTGTCGACATCGCCCTTTGAGTTCGTGATACGGCATTTCTTTTGGCTGCTGCTGGTCGTGCTTTGCGTGGGCGCCTGCAACAGTCTCGTCGTCTTTCCCATACTGCTGACCATGTTGGGTCCCGAGGCGGAGTTGGTGCCACTCGAGCATCCCGATCGCATATCCACGCCCTCACCGGTCCTCTCGCGCGGCAGCAAGCGTTCGAACAAGACGATTGTGGTCAATGGATCGCGCAGCTCCCGGAACTCCTCCTCCAACAATTGCCAGAAGGCCCATCACTACCACAAGGAGATCAACATCAATGACCCCTCATTGACCACAATTACCGAGGAGCCGCAATCCTGGAAGTCCAGCTCCTCCTCCATACAAATGCCCAACGATACCAGCCACCTGAACATGAACAACATGAACATCAACTATCAGCAGCAACAACAACAACAGCAGCAACAACAGCAACAGCAGCATCAACATCAGCCACCCTGTCAACAGTCCTCCTATGGACTGGGGGCCCATGCGCCCCCTCCCTCGTACCTTAAGGCGGCTCAGCTGCCACCCAACTATCCGCCAGAGGTGCAGAGCATTGTGGTGCAGCCGGAGGTGACGGTGGAGACGACGCACTCGGACTCCAACACCACCAAGGTGACGGCGACGGCCAACATTAAGGTAGAGTTGGTAACTCCGGGTCGGGCGATGCGGAGCTACAACTTTACGAGTTAGCATTAGAAATAGTTCCTGTAGCATCTAGAATATTATCAATAGCCTATAGCCAGTAACTGTAACTGTAGCTGTATCTTGTATCTGTATCTATACTATAGATATATATCTATATATTTGTATGTGTATGTGTATGCCTGTTAGTTAATCTCTATATATAGTAGCTGCTATGCTCGCCTGCCTAGCAGCTACGTATGTATGTAATGTTTTATTTTAGTGTGTAAGGACTTTTCTATAAATATTTATTGATAAACACAACCAGCAGATCAACAAATCATGTACTTACACACACCCACACCCACACACACACACCCACACACACACACAGACACATAGTGGCCGACTCGTCAGAGGCCCCCGGCATTTATATGAGATTTTATTTATGTATGTATCTTCGGCTTTAAGTGAGAAATTGCTTTAGCAATTCGCAAATATATTGAAAAACTAAAAAACCAACAAACAAATGGAGAAAAGAGAAAAACAATTAACAAACAACCCACAAACTAGACATTTATAGTGTATAATTAGTTTAAATATGTACATAGAACACAAGGACTTGAACCAAAATAGTATCGATTAAAAAACAAACGAAACAAAGCAAAATGAAATGAGAAGAACGAGAATTTTACGTAAAAACCCCCGCCCTTAGGTACTTACAACCAAAATGAATAAACAACGCCTTCGTACATAGTTATAAATTGCATTTCTTTATGTACATCTGATGGGGGAAACAAAATGAAGAAAGAATTAATATCACAATTGCAGAAGTACAAAGACTGATTGTCTTTTTTTTATACAATAATACGCATATTAAACATTTTAAAAAGTGAAAACATGTCTCAAATAAAACAAAAAATAACAAATCAACTTTGACTTTTATTAAAAATAATTTTTCTAATTGTAACGCTACCGGAACAGATCGCTATGAGAGGGCTGATTTGGACGATAAAGATCGAAACATATGTACATATGTGTATCTTTGCAACTGGGAAAAATGATCAATGTTTTGGATTTTCTTCTTGAAATTATTGTGCGTTTATATACATTAGCTTTTATCTCGCACTCGCAGCTACCAATAATAATTTTGAAAAGTAATGTTCTGTTTTAAAGGTAAGAGCTACGAAATGAATGTCCGTTGCCAGACCGTTCAGAAAATACGAACTATTGGCAACACCATAAGTGGAAATTAAAATACTTCCCCATTAGAAGCGAGTTGGCAGCGCTGTCCAGATCACGCCACCAGCAATGAATTGAGAGCGGGAGCGTAACACACTAAAGTTTTATGAGAGCATGAGCGCGATTTTAAAACACAACAAATGAATTAACATTAATTCAATAATTACGGTGTTACTAATTTACCAATACTAGACTGCTCATTAAAAAAGCAATTGAATAAATCACAATTTTTTAAATGACAGCTGCAGCTGCAGGCACACATATGTATGTAAATAAAAAACTGTATTCGCCGCGAGAGGGAGCTGGCCAAAGTGTGTGTGCGTGTTAGCACCGCGACCATGAGGAGAAAATATTCGTGGCAAAAGCGACAGCGAAATTTCATACACGTATCAGAAACAAATTCAACGTGAGTTGAGAACGTCGTGTCGCGGCGTTTTTGTCTGTCGTGAAGCTAATAAGTTAAAGAATTTAACCCATGCGGGCGCCAAATTGAAACAAAAATACTACAAAGCACTAAAACGCAATTTAAAGCAAAATCTCCAGACTAGCTGTGTGTGTAAGTAAGCATTTTTTCCACTGTGTGTGTATTGTTGTTGGTGTGTGCCAAAATCGTGCTCGTGTTTGTGTGTGTGCTAGCAAGTTGGCAAAAGTAAAAAGCGCAACGCAAAAATGTAAGCTTGTGTGCGTTTTGTGAAAGTTATCGCGAAGCTAAAAACAAAAAAAAAATAAGGAGAAAAACGCAGCGCAGTACTGGCTAATGCGAAAGTTTATAAATAAAAGGCAGCCAATTGGTTAAATTCTCATGAACAAAGCGTGCACAATGTGGTTGCAGCGACGTCGGCTGATGTATATGTATGTGTGCGTGTGTGTTGGAAACCGACGCTCCCCTACTAAAGATATTCAATTTGAAAAAATTCTTATTAGCAAAGACGTCATTTTACATAATCGCGTATGTGTGTGCGTAGTGTTGAATAAAGCCATGAAACGCGCCCGCGTCTTTACTTAAATGTTTAATTATAATTAATTTTGATGTTCTTTATTTTATATTTCCTCTCTTCTTGACATCGCTCGCGTTGTTTTACTCATCGTCAACAATTGCGGTAAATGCAAACTGCGCTCGGCTCTCTGATGACATATGAAAACTAACGGCACTTCAATAACACAGACGACGCAATTTTATTGTTATAATCGTACAGCCAACTACATACCTACATATACCTTAGGTAAGTTGCAACTAAAGTTAGTGTCTGTTTGCTCTGTCCCATACACTAACGTGACGTATTTGTTGAACTTAATGCCGCTCAGCTGACGTAAACTGCACTTGCTCTTCCCCTTTCTTACTCACTCTCTCTTCCTCTCTTTTTTATTGTGAGGCAAAAGCCGGCGTCGCAGAGCATCGTACACCCCTAGATATCAAAATGACACAGAAAGTAGCACATGGTTAAGATTGGTATGACCCCGTGCGTGCTCACGCGTGTTCATGTTTGATTTTCTAATTTCGTGCGTGTTGATTAAAAAAGGCACAAAACACGCCCACGGAAAAACATATAAAGAATACTATCAAATATATTAGGAAAACTACATTATTCGATAATACACTTACATTTTCTTTCATCAGAAAAAGTTGTTTATGTGAACATGAAAATAAGCTACACAGACTTTTAGGAACATTACATACCTTAATAAATGAATTATGCACAAAATGAAAGCTCAAATTGGGCAATGCGATATACCCATATCGTATTTCAATAGCACTTCCAGATTTTATTTCATAAAATAGTAATGTCAATTAATTTAACCCATAAGGGAAATAAATTGCACCTAATTCTGTTTTTACACGGTTTTGATTTAACACGGTTTGAAAATTAAAAATTGTATATATGGTTACACGACTTTATTCCATTTAGCACGATTCATTTTGCGTTTGTTTTTTTACACGACTTTTTAGGAACCAATCTACCGTGTAATAACAGAATTAGGTGTTATATTTTAGTTTGCAAATTTATGTGGCATTAAGGTTGTATTTTTGATCATCTGATGAAGCATCGTCGGTCGTGAGTGCTTTTTTAAGTGTCCGCATCGTGACCATCGTCTTTCGGGTTGAGATAAGCCGACAAATGCCCATCTATAGTACGTGGGTGGTTAACTGTTTCATATTCGTTTCCAATTCCATTACTACCTCCCTATTTTGGCATTTACATAGTTCGAAGCTTAATCTCATCTACCACTTCCACAATGGCTTATCAAAACTTTGTACTTAATGGCGTAATTTGTAAATGCAAGTGACCTTTCGTGATTATAATAGGCATGCACTCCTCAATTTTCACACCTGAACAGCAATCATTCAAAGCCGTAGCAACAATAAACAGTTAATGTTAATATTGACCCAATTTCGTTTCGCAAGTTCGCTTGCACTCGACTACTCGTCTGAGAGTTTCCGCTGCTTGTTGCATTATGCAATGTTGCTAATGGTAACAAGACTTCTGATAGCCCCGCGTTTGTTTATTGATTTTTTCTGCCTTCAATCTTGCAAAGGAAACATTGGACTTCCCCCATTTGCCTCAATTTACAAATGCCTGATGAGTATATATGTATATACATATGTATGAATGTATGTGTCGGTGTAGGTTTTCTTGTTGGTCAGCTAATCAGTCCGCGCGCCTTTTGCTGCTTTTGAATGAAAACGACCTTCAGCGACGGCGGCTGTAGCAGCGGCAGCGGCGCATTCTGTTACTCTTTGGATTTTTCCATTGTTCCATTGTATGTACTTATGTATGTATGTATATATTTTGCATTTTGCCACTGCTGTGCGTATTTTTAGCTACAATACATACATACATATGTATACAATATATGTTTACTTAGCTATGTGTGTGTATAGAGTATATGTGTAGAAACAGTCTACCGACGTACACCTACGCTCAATGCTAACGGTTGTTGATTTGAATTCTAATTAGATTTCATTTTTAGATTTTAAAAAAATACACGCAATAACCTGGCATGCCGCCCACTCTCTCTCTCGCTCTTTCTCTTTTTGCTATTTCTCCTACTTATAGTCGTTGCACGTGGATGTTTTGCGCGTGTCGGCTGCTCTCGCACTCTCCCATGTTGGCGCTTACTCACTGTGTCCGTTATACCAACTGAAAATCATGCGAGTTTTATCAGCAGTTGGTTGGTTGGGAAAGGGGGTCAGGCTGGTGTGTCATCTGTTCTTGTTGTGGCGTTCGCGACCAGCTGAGCTGATGACTGGCCGGAGTACGTTTACTCGTACTGGCGACTGTGCTGCAAGTGCTGTTGCATTTTAAATGACTATGTATGAGGTGTTTTCTAGGGCGCGGCTTTTGTTGTGGCCGGAAGCAGTTTCAGGTGCCGTGCTACTTTAAATTAAGTGCTACGTAAAGCACACGTTCACATGTACTTGCACTGTAAGTGGTACAGATTAAAAATCAGATAATAGTGGCTTGAGTTATCTAATGTGGATATACTTCAAGTTCATTAAATATTCTCCATGAAGATTGTTCAATTACATTGAGAATAGACAGCACTATATTTATATTATATACATTCGCATTTTTTAAATTAATATAGTGCTAATAGTATGGTTCCAATAGCTTCGTTCCAACTTCCGTTTTATTGGAAATCATGAAACGTATCTGAAAAGGATTGTTTGCCGCATTGTTCTCATTAAATTGCAATACGCATTAAATTCTCCCCCTGTCTTATTTTGCCGGTGTACATTTCATTCATGGCCAACACCATGTACCAATACCCAGCATTTAGCCCAACATCCGGCCATGTAAACAAATTGCTCTTTGACCTTTCATATCGTTTGGCCCCCACTGGATGATGGGGCCGTGGACTCTCGTCCAGTGCCGCCTTTGTACAGTCAACTCGCACGCATGCAACCGGCGAACTCTCTCATTCTCTCTCACTCTCTTCGTGGCGCTCTCTTCGCCGC